ACGTCACGCTCTGTTTGCGGTCAGGTGACAATGTAACACGAATCGTTGATTCCATCTAGCAAATTAAATGAATGTTTGATTAAATGAATCAACTAAACACAGAATTAATGCCATCATAGATGTACAGATGGTATTAATGTTATATTATTATGGAGACAGTTCGCGTTCTGGGTTCCGGGCCAATAGACCAATCATAATGTCGCAGATGAAAATAATAATAATAATTGTCGAATGATTATTCAAAAAAATATATTGTTAATTGATTATTTATAAAAATAAAATTATTATAAAAATTTAATAAAGGTATTAAATTAGATTTTAAAATCGATTATTATTAGTCGATTATTTTGTTCACATCCCTAGTTAATGAGAAAGTAGTTTCTTGATTTTTCCATAACAACCTTTCCGGTTTTCTTTCATGTATAAAAGTAAATTTATTTTTCATAACTCAATATATAACTCCCATTTTAATTGTACTTTTTCGTATTTGTATTGATATCTTAGTTTCTAACTTTGCAAATTTCGGTTTTTTTATATGTTAATTAGTTATGCTATATGATTAAAATTCAACCCGTTATTAAATGGCGTCTTTCAATTAAAGGGCTAGCTGCCCAATTTGTCAGTTAATAATACCACTTGGCTGCGACATACATATATCCATTATTAAATATTCTTTAATTACGGATATATTAAATTAAGGTATTGATGAGTACAAGAAATAAAATGAAAAATAAATAAATTCGAAATATTTAAATAAATTAAATTATTTAATAATGTAATGACTGCCCAAACCGAACTAAAATAAAAGAAACAAGTCTTACTATAAAAAATGCTCTTTGCAGTCGGGGGATCTCATTAGATTACAAAAGGCTATGACATTTTGTATAGCCAAGTCTTTAAATATTATTTAAATATTACGAACATTTTTACCATGGAGTATTGTTATAATTAAATACCGTCAATCGTTACGGTTGCGTATACTTCGATCCATTTCCCTGAATGGTTTTCTATTCGAGTCGTTTACTTAGTTGTGTTCATTGAAGCATTACATTTTTTATTATGTAATGCAAAAGATAAGTTAATTCATTGATACAAATTGATTTAGTAAGCTCTACTTTATTCTAATATTTTTGTAATCAAAAAGTAGATTTTATGCCAATTTATACATTTTATTCCTCAGAAATGCTCGTACATTATTTTAAATCATGGGCTACTTGGGTACTTGTAGTTTCCTTGTAATCCATAGACAATTAAATGTTCTTGAAACCTAAAGATAAATTATTAAGTCTATACTAGTAACTTCGGAGATAGGAATGGAAAAGGCAAATTTTCTTCTTTTTCCTACATCTTTCTGGGTGATATTTTGTAATGATAATGAACCCTTTGTAACAGCTTTGAGTCAACAACAAATAAATGCATTAAATTCTGACTCTTTTTTAATAAATTTCAGCTCAATTGGTATAATATGTAGTTTTAAAGTAAATTACACTCTTTATTTGCTAGAATACAAATAAATCAGGTCTCAAAATTTAATAATGAAATTGGTACAGTAAGCTGTATTATACTTGAGAACAGGCGTGTAAATATTGTAATCGTAAAATGATTCTATTAAATCATACAATTTTTTTAAAAGATAAAAATTCTTTTACACTATAGAAGCTGTGTTCCATAAGCCATGTCAATTTTAATTTAACTTCATTAATATTCAAAAATTTCATAACATCTGGTGAATTATTGTATAAAATTATGCACATATTGTATACATTATTTTTATAAATGTCCTTATTACAAAGAGGCTGGTACATTAAATTTATATATTTTTGTCTATTTGCAGGGGCATAACTTCTACATGTTTAATCAAATATTTGGAATTGGTGTGAACAAATAAACATATATCGTTAATGTACATACAGGGTAGAGGCAAAACATTAAGCTTTTTAAAAAGTGGTGGCCCACAATAACAGACTTTAGCTCAAAACAGACGACACATATCCATGGTAGGCGATTAAAGCAGCTTCAACAGAGACTGTTTGTATCAATTTTTTTTATTGCAAATATAAAACGGTTTGGTTTCCCAGATATATGGTCAATACGCTGCTTCCAATTTAGAAGTTTATCAATTAATAACCCAAGAGAACATACTGAATCTACTTGGTCTATTTCAATATTTTTGTTAAAAAAGACGTACTATATCATAAAAACCCTGGAATGCATTAACAAAATTATCGTTATTCAATACATCAGAAAAAGAAAGAGACGACAAGCATTTACAAAATTTGGATAGTTGAGCAATGTTCTGTTTATTTTTTACCTTAATTTGAATTGTTTGAGCTGTTTCATGAAACTATAACCACAGATGATACATTTCAGGAAATTTCCGATTTTATATTATAGAAATTTAGTCAATGCATGATTTTTTCCTGATTGGTTCATTTATGTGAACTTTTAAGCCATCGCATCGTTACGTAGTGTATCTAATAAATTATTAGTGGCAGAATCTTTTTTCAAATTATTTATGTTCCAGTCACCACACCATTTTTGTTCTTTTTTAAGTAACTATTGTACTGAACTCTAGAAATATATATTTGACTCTTATATTTAGTAAAAATGAATAATGAGTTAGTCATTTGTATATTGTTGGTGTTAGACTGAATTTGGTATTCCAGACATTATGAATCATAGGTTACCGAATAAAATTAGATGTATCCATTGTTGTGGTCATGAGCATCAGAGAACCTGTATTTGATAGGTACTAATATAAAAATTATTGAAATTATTGAACAAATGAATTATTTACAGCTATAGGCACAGGAAAATCGCTATGTAGAGTCATAAGGTTTTTTAGGGTCCATTGTGCACCTTAAAATTAAAAAACTGAACTTTTACATATTAAGTTCACCAGGCACAACCGATTTACTCCAATATTACAAGACCAATTGAGGTAAGTGGGTAACCAAAAGATGAACGTAATCGTACGTAAATCATTTTTGTTTTTCACTATTTTTTTTATTGACATATAATTTTCCATTTTTCTCCCTATAAAGACTTAGGACCAAGTTGTTGATGAAACGCTATACCTACTTCAACGAATAGGTATTACAAAAAATCCGAGTTTTAAGATTTCGTACCCAAAGAGTAAAACAAGACTATATTACTAAGACTTCGTTGTTTGTCTGTCTGTTACCAGGCTGTATCTCAGAACCGTGAAAGTTAAACAGTTGAACTTTTTACAGATTATGTATTTCAGTTACCGCTCCAAATACTAAAATATTTAAGGAGGACTCTCATATAACTAAAGTAATTTTTATGGCTCGTTTTGAATACCCTTCGTGCGCGGTCTGTTTTTATTTATAACTCCAAGACTTCTATAAGTCTTTGAGATAACTATTTAACAGTAATCTTAACTGTTCTATGTGTTAATTTTACATCTATGAATACATGTTAGTTCATTAAAATGTATGAGAGTTGGAGAATCAGGCTAATGTTTTAAAGATATCGCTTAAAGGGAAAAGCTGAGGATTTCATGCCGATTGCCGGATATCTATACATCGTCGTAGACCTACTGACACCACAATCAGAATATAAACTGCATTTTATCATATGGTAAAAAAGTATTTTTTAGCGATAACATAAAGGTCGTTAAAAAAATCTTGAAAATTATGTAGGAACAAGTTCTATAAATTTCCTTTAAATTAGGGCGAGGATTAGATTGTCATGCTTTTAACCACCCGACTTCAAATGAAGTTTATTTTATTTGTTTATAGTCGTTGCTATTCAGGTTTAGTTTTAAAAAAATATTATATTTGGATAATGCTTAAAATTACTACAATTTTTATTTTAAAATATCAAATGACAAGGACATAGTTAAAACAATATGTCATTTTTATATATAAAAACGAAACTACTGATCCAAATTCTAATTCATTTTTTTTTAAATATACCCTATCAAACAAAACATATTGATTAGAGTGTAACAGAGATTTGCAATCGTTTTTTAATAATCACTACGACTATTAGACCTTTTTGGTAATGTCATAATTTGTTCTATGGTAGATACAAGGATTAATAAAGCACTTTGAAAAGAAAACATATTGAGACACGAGGCAACGAGAAATGAATGAACACGAAAAGTTAAATCTACAAGTTCATGGTTCTATTCCTGACCTATCGAGTAAAATATTAAGCTAATAAGCTTCGATATGGTTGACATTAGATTCAATCAAAATACACTGTGTTCAATACTGTTAGATAGAGTATGAACTTTAAATACATGGGGTTGAACACTCAACTTTTATTACAGTATTGAACGCTGAGTACCTTTTTATCGAATCCAATGTCAATCACAATGAAGCCTATATAGTTACGCAGTAGATCTGCCGGTATAAACTTTTTCATAAAATATCTTCAAACAAACATTTTTCAAGTCTGTCCAAAACGGTTTTCATGTTGCTAGCCATTGTTGTGTTTTTATTATATACTAGAATAGGAAGCGGTATAATCTAATAAACTGTTTGGTAACAAGTCAAATCAGGAAGAAAGCATATATAAGTACCTAAATGCACTTTTTTGTTATTGCAATAACGTAACTACGGTTCGGTAATAAGTACGTATCAATCACGGCCGTTTCTGAATTATCGGCTGGTTGCATTGTTACGCACGATTTCACTAGATGAATTATAAAATATTAATTGTAACAATCAATCGTTTTTCATTATTACTACTATTGTTTTCCGTTTTATCCGTGAAGTTTTTTTTGGTGAGAAAGCTGTTTCTTGAAATATTTTTTATGGAGAGTCCTTATGATATGCGGAATACCTTATCATTGTAGATGTGTGTAGACTTTAAAATTTATACTTCAGTCCTACAGTTTTTTTATTTTTAAGTTCTATTACAACTTTCATAACGTCAACTTTCAGTAGATTAGGTTTTAAATGATAAACAAGCGCAATACTGCCCGGAAAAGTAGCCTTGAATGTAATATTTCGTGTATATTTACTTACATTCATTTTTCACTGGTTGCTATACAATTATCCGATTCTGGAACTGGATCACAAAACACAAAACTCTCGATCTATTAAATCCCTTTGTCTGCAGTTATGTTAACGGTGGAATAAAAAAAAAGTTTCTTGAGGGCGGGAACGTGGTAGCTAAACTCGTTTGCAACTGCAACGAGGCGCGTTACTCCACCTAGGGAGTGTTTGGGCGACTGAAAGCGAGCCGTTTGAAAATTTTAACTTTCTCGCGCGACCGCGTTTTAGACTCGCTTGGTAGGCAGGAGGTTGTCGCGGCCGCCATTTCTTTTTGTTTATACACGTCTAATTAGATCATACGTGCTACAAGTTTCTTAACTCCTATAAGTACAGTCAACAGTTTATACAAAATTACAGATTCCTAGACCTAATTTTAAACTTTAATTCATTGAAATTAGAGCTCAAAATAACCTTACGTGCAGCCATTTGTACATGGTACAGTCAGCATGTCAGGCTATACAAATCTGTCAAACTTTTCTATTTGAATGTAAACATTAATGTTTTCAGGGTAGAGTTTAAAAGCAACAGGAGAAATTTTACTTGATGTGGTAACCTGACGCAAGGCCGTGTGTGTGTACTATCTAAACTACTTTCAGCCAGTTGCATAAACGTCCATTAAAATTATCATTAGCTTTAATCGACATTACCCATAGAATTTGACATTCATTAGAGCTTAAAGGCATATATAAGACATTAAACCTTAACGGACGTTTGTGCAACTGACCGTTTGTATTATTGATTTGTTTGATATAACCACAGTTTTATTGCATTAATCAAAAGACACGGCTTATAAGAAAGTTGAAAAATGTATAATAATTAATGAATATAAAAGCGATTATTGCCGAACAGTTATCCCTCGCAGGTAAGGTGTCGACCGTAAATTACGTCATACTCGCACGTTTCCCCGGTGGGCAACAAAATCATCATAAAATAATGAAGTGAAAGTCAGGCTCGCGCACAAAGGGTTTCGCATCATTATGCTATACCATTATTAAAACGCAAAAAAATCACGTGCTGATCTACAGCCTGGCAATAGATAGACGGGCAGCAGAGTCTTAGTAATAAGGTCACAGTTTACCCTTTGAATGTAGAGTCCTTTACAAAAATGTATTGTATTTTAAAATTAATGCACATCACGCCACTAGCTACAGAGGCCAAATTCATTATACCTACTCACAGTAATAAAACAAGCTTCACAAATCTTTTCATACTCATTATAGGTGAGATGGGACGGACATGCTTCGTAATCCCTAATTGAAAATAAAATCATGCACAATATGGTAACGTAAAATCGTCAGCCTCATGGAGCGTAAGACCGCCATTCGAAGTTTCTGTCCGGTAAAAAAAATCGTTGATCCGGAGAGCACCATCAAGTTTCTCTATTGGCTACTGTTTATTAACGCTTATCCCACCGTTATGAAACATTTTTATTGTAGTTATTTTTTGTTCATGTCATTATCCTATTAGCGAAACAATAAAGAACCTACAAACAGCGGCGGCTCAAGGGTTTATGAGAAGTTCTGCAATAGCGCTTAAAAGACGCCTTTTCTAAAATGTTGGTATTTTTAATAAAAAAAGTTTAACCAAAAAAAAATAGAAATAAATATAACTTTACGCAGCATATATAGTGCATATTTTTAAAATTCTTCGTTTATGTTAAATAATTGTAGCGTGCACTTTTGGATTTTCTAAGCTTTTGCGAATTTTTTGCCAATTCGAGGAACTTTTTCACGGCCTTACGCCGTCTCTGTCTATATATTTGCAGATTTCTTAAATAATGCAGATGCAGATCAACTTCTGCATAAACAAAAAGAAAACAATGAAAATTGATCATTTATTGGGTATAATCTGTTATTGTTGGCAACCCTACCCCTGAATTCAGTTGTTTACATTTGCAATTTCATCAACATTTCCAGAAATAATGAGTGTTTCGGTATCTGAATGATCTAAGAAATGATAATATTATGCATTTGTATGTGATGATGATAATATGGTATAGTGAGGACAATCTTAAATTCGCTATTGTGAGAAATCACTAGTTATAAATCATGTTTAACTTTAAACATTCGCATCTTTTAGGGCTGCTCTTTTTATCCAGGAATGCAACCGCAAAGTAACGTCAAAGTAGTAACATGAAATTAAATATCGTCATAACATCGTTAAGACGTCGTATCGTATAGCTAGAATTAAGGCTAGAGAGTTAAGGAGAATGGCTTCTAGGATAGTGATTTCACTCTTTGAATATTCTTCCACCACTTTCCAAACTGAAAAATTGTGTAAACCTAACCTTAGGGCTCACCTCAGGCTCCGTTTTACATATTGAATAAGACCTCTAGGAAATCGAATGAGAAGGTCGAAAAGATTTTAATGGTCTCCCATAATAATTTCCAAATATAAACAATATTGAGTACCATTAATTGTTTGCAGTATGGTGGCATTTCAATTGGCAATACACAAGAATTTATCATGTTTTTTTGGTCCCATTTGACAAATAAAACCCACAAATTTTTTATCAAGTACTGATTAAATACTGATACCTATACTGATACTATTAAATAAGACAGTTATTTGACAAATACTTATGACAAATATACACTTAAAAACGAAAATGAATACTTTACCTATGCTTCTTGCGAATAGCCAAGTGAAGTGCCACCATTATAGAAATATAAATTGATTATATTATTATTGAGTTGTAATTGCTCTGACGAAGGACTGCGGATCGTCGCACTAAAGTTACTGTCAAGACAAATCAAACTCGCCCAAACTAGATGCTTCGTTTCATTAGTGAGGCGCCATGATCTTCTGACTCCATCATCAGATCAGCCCCCTAATTGTCTAATTTTAAATCTATGCACAACCATTGCTGCATAATACAAATACTTTTTTTTCAACTGTCTTCAGAAACAAGCAATGGTTGTGCAACACCTTTCAAACTGAAAGCGATTGCAATAGATTTAAAATTAGACAATTAGGGGGCAGCTTCACATATTAACATTGTCATCCAATACAAAGTATATATTGTATGTGTATACAAAATTTTTGTTCAATCGAAAAATGGGAATTTTTTCACGGCAAGTAATCATAAGTAATAAAAAGGGGTTGTCCTTTGCACTATTACTAACGAGTTGGTAGCTATACCAATATATATTGAGTAGTACCTTAGAGCTACCAAAAAAATGGCGCATTGCATTCATAGCTATACTTCAGGTACCGGTCAAGAACCGGCTCTGGGATAGAGCGGGTGCACGCTGTTGATCGAAAGTCCACACGAGTGTAGTTAAGTGGCAGATATACTATCCATACTATCTTCAATTAATATGAAACTGGTTTCGATTACATACTCTGTTAACTTATTAATTCATCTTTATCCTAGTCTGAATAATACTTGAAAAAATGCATTGACAACATAAAATTTATCCTATAAATTATTCCCAATATCATTATGATTTATTTATACCGCATATATATCGCGTTCTATTCAGCCGCTCTTGTAGTTCTGCAAGCTAATTTTGATTATGTTTACTAATCATCGCATCTCGATAGAATCTCAACTAATTACATTTTGCCATTGAACTATCTACCTGTACTCAGTCAATGTCCTTTTTTTATTACTGATTTTTATAATAATTGGCTAAACTTAACTTCATCATTAAGCTATTATCAGATTTTTCTCTCTAAAAAGTTTATTAAATAAAGCAAATTTAAATTGTCCTGCGAAAATTATCAGTCACTGAATTTAGTGTGATGTCACGAGATGGTGATGGCCTCCCGCGTTACGAAATAGCATAAAACAAAATATACCTATAAATTATTTTAAAATAAAAAATACTACATTGTTATTACTTGCATATAAGTTACCATTTCTAACATATTTCATAAATTAATCTTAAACTAAGCAAATCTAATCCAGCTCGAAGGACCATAATATGTGTTGTGTATAATTTCTAGGATATACTTACTAAATTCGTTTCATTTATTATTCGACAATCTCGTTGAAGTAGACTGCTAGGCTGGTTTTGTAATTCCTCGATTTCATTTTAATATTTTTAAATGACGTGGCGTTTGGAGTTTTCTGGAGGTTCAGCAATTTTTACCATGGTCGGGCGTTAGATAGATAATCAATTTATGCAACCTTCCTCGTGCTTTCCGAAGCACAATGAAGTTCACTCAACATTAAACTATTCGTTAGTGCCGTATCTTAAGACGCTTTCACCTACCAATTCGCAATAGGAATGCATCTTTCTTTATGATTCTATCTATAAGAAAGATCCCAAGGCTCAATAGGAAATATTATGCAAAGGAGTAGATGGCAGCACTGACATATATAGTAAACAAATTTTGTGAACATTTTGTCTTTTGAAAATGAACGATTCCTTCCCTCTTACATCCGAATATGCAGTGATGAGTATTATTGATTAAAATTACTCTCGCAAAATCAAACATTAATAAAATTCCCGCTATGCTCACTATTACTTTACTCTTTGCTCACTACTTTGTAAATGACGTTTTATGTGTACAAAAAAACTGTTTACGAAGTAGGTTAGTGCTGCAACCTGGCGACAGAAAGTTGCAGTAATATATCCTATACCCATTGAGGAAGTCGTAGTTACGCGAGACGTTTTTAAATTTAGGTAGGGCGGAAAAGTGTTAAAAATACTTGAAATTCTTGTGACGTAATTTATGGATAAATCTCTTATGCTGGGGCATAGACATTCTCTATGGATGGTATGGAATTGAATATGAGCATAGCATGTACAAAACAGTACTATAAGACTTCAGTTTCTTTATATTATTATATTGTTGTTGTTTTTTTGGTACTAAGGATGAAACGATATCAATGTAAAATAAAATAAAAAATAACCCATATCCCATAGCGTTATATTAGCATGTACTATATATGTGCTTCAGTATTACAATGGCATAATAACGTGTAAGCAAACATCGATAATAATAATGCAATCGACTTACAAAATGTAACATAGTTAAGAACATACTAGGGTTCAATAGGAGTGCCAGCACAAAACAAAATATATCAGTTTGTTTAATAACGCTATTTTTATTTAAATAACTGAATCTATAAAATAATTACCATATATTATTTTTATATAATTAATTCTATACTGCTGTGGTAAGTAGAATATTTTTCATAGGTTGTAAAATCAGTGTCAAATCAATGACTTACAAAATAAGACCCTACTGCTAAGAAGTGAAGCACGTATTGGAGATGCTATTCTACAAGAAAAGTAATAAGACAAAATAATAAGCAATTTATTACCATGCCACAGCATGCCTCAAACTTTATTGGCGTTGGAAACCTTTTAGAAACCAAATACTCAAACGCAGCATATACAATCAGCATATATAATGAATCATATACATATTTTTGTGTAACTGCAAGCCTTTGACCAATATTATCATGTACCCTCATTTGTACAGCTCCACGGAGTACAATTTGAGAAACGATAACATACATTTTTTATATCACTGCATACACTTCGTTCATGTTAACATCGCCAAATCATACAATTTTAATACAATTTTTCAATATTATCAAACAGAAAATTTCGTAAGAGCTAAATTTAGGTACATTTATTTTTGTGATTCGCAAGCTACTATACATTATAAGTCCGTGACGTTTACAGAAATATAAGAAAAAGGCAAAGGATGAAATAAAGGAAAATACAGTCTAGACACAAAGTTAGGTTAGTATATTCCTACTGAACCCTTTACAAGTATATGCATAATAATTGTTTGAGACAATGTTTGCCTTAGCGCCTGGTGACCGGTTGCCAGTCATCGCCATCAGGATCGCGAGCTGAAAAATAACATCATATTGAATCAAAAATGGCAAAAAATCGCTTAACCTATACTTAAGCGGAATATAAGTATGGATACGACTTTAGAAAACGTAATTAAAAGTTATCTTAATCTTTTCCAATGAATCAAATCCAATTTATTTGTACTGGTTTTTAAGAATATACCGTAGTATTTCTAAATTACTCTAATAAATGCTTTCTATTTATTTCAATTAATAAGAACCCTGGTATACCCGTAGTAGTCGATCTTTTTCCATTTAATAGTTTTGTTTATGATGTACATTTAACCTTTGCCCACTTTAGCTATGAAATGTTGTAAACTGTTTATTTTATTGTGCTTAATAAAGAATCTATCTATCTACATTATTACTCACGTTTCTCATCACGTCGCGGTGGCGGCGGGCGTCGCTCGCGATCGTCACGTCGCGGAGCATCACGTTCATCGCGTCTAGGACCATCGCTGAATATATAATAAAGTTGAATTTTAATATCTATATAAAATATAGTTTCATTATTCTAAATTGGAACTTTGTTTTTGTCTGGATTTTTTTCAGGACAAGTATTTTAATATAAAGGAAAGTACATAATTAGCAGAAAACAATTCTACATAATAAATACATTGTTTAAATTCTTATTATTATTCTCCTTGATATTGATAAATGTGAAATGAGTTCATAATGCTATTGTTTCAATTATTTATTTAATGGTAGAGATCCCTTAATATTATTTTATAAATCCGAAAAAGATTGTTGATTAGGTTAAAGTAAAAGTATGACATGTGATAAGACAAATAAGAAGCTCCCTAATCTGAAATACATCTTTCAATTATTTCAAATTTATTATAAAGTAGATTTTACAGTGTGGATAATAAGACTTGAAATGTACATTAAAATGACGTTGCAAATGCAATATGTATTATTAACTAACACGCATTATCATAGCAATGTCTAAGAGCAATCTTACCGATCATCCCTCCTCGGTCCGTCATCTCTCCTTGGGGGATAGCGGTCGCGATCGCGATCACGAAAGTCACGATCACGATCACCACCGCGCGGTGCGTCACGATAGCGGTCGCGATCGCCGCCGCGGTCACGGTCACGATCCTCGCCGCCAGCGCGTGGTGGTGCGTCACGATAGCGGTCGCGATCCCCACCACGGTCGCGGTCGCGATCCTCACCGCCGCCGCGAGGCGGTGCATCACGATAACGGTCGCGATCGCGATCCTCGCCGCCGCCGCGAGGTGGCGCATCACGGTAGCGATCGCGGTCGCCGCCACGATCGCGGTCCCGATCCTCGCCGCCGCCACGAGGTGGAGCATCCCTCGATCGCCATGTATTCGACGCACGTTCCTGAAGGATTATGACATTACTAGCGATGGAAAGATGGAAAGTGATATAATAGAGTGAATCAAATGATTTTCTTCCGTCTAAACTTTCAATCTACTATCACTACTCAAACTATATTAATTATTGACAACATAATACAAAAAATATCTTGTTGATTCATTGAAAGTTCTAAGTATTAGCCGATAGCATAACACGCGGCATTTGTTTACTTTACACGGGTGATAAGCGCTGGACCTTGCCGCGTGCGAGGGGAGCGTAAGCGGCGGGGGGCGCAGCATACCAAAGGGCCTTATGACGCATCAACGTCACAATTTATCATGATTTATCTGTGACAATTTGCAAAGTTTTATTAAGTGTCTACAAAAATTGATGAAGATATATTGATAAGTGAACCTAATTCTGTTTCAATAAATAAAAACAAATTTATTTGTACAAGTTTTCTAAGAAAAGATCATAGTATTTATTAATTAACAGCTTGACTTTCTACTTAACAATTTTACTTTCTATTTGTTTTAATTTATAAGATCCAAGGGATATCAATATTGAGACAATATTGATATCCCATACAAACTAAAAATACAAACTTGACATTTTCACCAAAATAATATACATGATAATCAATTGTTCTGGATCCAATTAACACAAATCCCGCAGGAAGCGAGATCTGTCGCGTCTCACCAGTTTTATTTCCCTCCGAGGCCTACCGCCATACAGTCATTAAAAAACTATAAGCGGGATTATATTCGGAGGGTAGTTTTTAATTATTTTTTTACACTTTCATGCATGACATGTCAAGACATCGTTCTAAATACAATATGGCGGACCATCTAAAATATATAGTTATCTAATAATATCAAATGAAAGGGTTCATTGATAAAATTACAATAAGTAAATTGATTTTATACATTTATTGTAAAAAATCTTTATACGTTTTATAGGGCGCGCAATCCGTGTGATACCTCACTGATATAGAATTAGAAGAAATAGCATTGCATTGAACTATTAGTAAAGAAATCTTTGAAAATAAACCCCAAATAATATTCAACCTTTATGGTCGAGTTTCGCTGGGTGACGACTAGCTTGTCTTTCTTGACGTCGTCGTCAAATACTAATTAAACAATTACTCACCCCAGTAGAAGCTGCTGGTGATTCAGCTGGACCACGCCGCCAACTGCTGCCGCTGTCCGGTCCACTGGACCGACCCGTGTAGCGGGGCCTTAACAATAGAATGTCTAATTGTATACATAGCAGTACATCGGGTTATTTTTTATAAGAGGTCAAATCTCTGGAATCAACTATTGATAAATTTGGGCCTATTTTAAATAACTCTTCCCGCCTAACCACCATGTCTATGGCAATAGAGTGAGGTGTTAAATTATTCGAATGTTCAATTATCAGGAGCTCTATTTTGAATCATTCGTTTCGAACGCTCTTTTTCTACTGATTTTTGTTCGACATAACAAATTCGCCATTTCTAATTCGCTCGACTGCAACGAATGGTATGAACCACTTGTCGTTTAGCGAACGTTGTACGCGAGTGATAGAGAAAATATGAAATTAATAATTAAATTATGTTTATGGTCCTTTTTTTACATTGACTTTTATGTACAATATATGTTTTCGAATCAATAGAAGAACAAAATTCAATACTTCAAATCATGTTGGCCACTCTTCAGAGGAACGTTTAAAATTTTTTACACTTTAAGATAAAGGATAAATTCACTTGCAATCAAATGAAAAATTTCAGATATTTTTATCTTCTGATCTGTTACAAAAAGTTATTCTCAATATTCCTTACCATATTCCTCGACAGTTATTTAAAATATGCTTTAGTATACCTTTTTGCAAAACAAATTTAGGAAACTTCACTCCACTTTACCGGTGTATGCAGACTTATAACAGTGTTAATAATTCTAACATTGATATCTTAAGTGACTCTGAAATTACTTTCAAAAAGAAGTGTGGTAATACTTTCTTCTGTTTTTGATTAGTATCGCGTAATGTTTAATAATATACCGTTCTAAAATTTGATTTATTTTTATAGATAGTTTGAAATAATTTATATGCTCTTTTAGAATAATTTATATTGTATTGGTATGTTTTGATTTTGTAATTATTTTAGATTTGACCAATTTCTATTTCTGTTGTTAATCTGTTGTCTTTTTTTTAAATTATTTTGAAATGCCGTATACGCCTGTTTAGGCACTTCATTAAAACTAGTCCATTATCTTTATATGAATTGTGTAATGTTATTGTCGCTGGTGTATCTAAATAAACAAATAAAGTAAATACTAAAAAACGGCGTCATGTGACTTTAGGTCGTATACGGCAATATATTAAGCAAGTGAACCAAAAATAGAGCTCCAGAACGCTAAATTAGTTTATATGGACATGACGCGACTTTCGTCACTCGCTGCCGCTGTGCATAAATACATCGCGTGTCAAACTAGTACTTCTGAACAGTTATGCTATAACTTTATTAAACAAAAGAAAATTTTTGATATGGCGCATTTTGAGCAGAAGCATCGAGTGATCGCGTCTGTCCATCACTGTAGCACGAGCCTAACAAATAGTTGATGGATGAGTTCATTAATTGAAAATCAATTGTGACACAGAATCTTGGTTTCATTAAAGTTTGTTCTAAGTGTTTTTCAAATAAAGTAAAAAACGTATATGCTTAAAGTATGATACAATATAAAGTTTTTTCCTGAATAATGAGATGTTTACCTTTCATCCCTGAGTGGTGGTCTTTCATCCCTTGGACGGTCACGAGCTCGTTCTGGTGATCGTGGACGTTCATCACTCCTTGGTGGTTCACGAGTTCGACCTAGTAAAACACAATCTTTAGAGGTGACTTTTTAATGTGGAATTGATCTGTCTAATTATATATTATTTTCTCATAGGTGCAAGCCCAGGCTACGTAACTTTCACCACCTAAATATAGGTTGAAGAATTGCTTAAGTTGGGAAAAGTAAATTCCAATTAATATACTTTTAATGTATTACGAGTGAACGGATTTGTCCCAAGGCCCGGATTTAGGACGATCACATATTAGGAGCTACTAAAGAAATATTTTCACGGAATAGCAACTGTTATTACTCATATTTTTATTGTGTTAGATGCAATGTAATGTCACGATTGTAAGCATGTTTATTCTATACTAGACCGAGAGCTTGTGACAAAAATGTGCAAGAACTTTCGAAAGCTTAATTTTTCAGTATGTTGTAGAACTCAAGCTATACATCACTCAGTACCCGGAACCAGTCACTTGAGATCGGAAGCAAGCATAAAAAGCCGCCTTTTAAGAGTGGTATAACTAACTTGATCTCCAAGGCTCCGCCTTCTTCTCGGGCGGTTTCTGTTCAGCAGCAGCAGTAGCTGGGGCAGCAGTGGTAGCAGGTGGAGCAGCGGGCTTCCTCCAGGCGTCATCCTTCTCGCCGCCTCTCCTCCAGCTTGACATGGCGGCCGCTTTCTGTTCCTCCAGCTTCCTCTGCACTTCCGCTTCTTTAGCGCGAGCCTTCGCTTCCACGCGTGCCAGGTACTCTTGATGCTCCCTGTTGCGACATGGTTATTGTTATAATCTACTTTTAATTCAAGTAAAAAAAAACAGAAAACGACAAAGTATGTGAATGTTGAAACTTAACAATAGGTATCCATAGAACTCTATGTACTGCGTTTACTATGTACTCTATGTAACCATGAAGTACTGCGTTTTATTTACACTGACATAAAACTTTTGGGTCATTATCTTTTTTTTTTAATGAAAATCAAGTTACAAATGTCGGCAAACCGAAAGACTGTCGATGTGGTGACCAGTTATCTGTGCCTACCACGCAAAGAATCTGGAGTGACAATATCGGATAATAAAGAATTGTAAAGAAAATATTACATAATTTAATATGGTTTAATTTGTAAAATAAAACTTAAAAGGCTATAAATAAAATAGAAAAAGAAGACACCTGACTTGAATAATTAACAATGTATCATATCGTTCATCAAAAAAGGCAAAAGGCAAAAAATATCAATAATATTATGGAGTTTAGCTGATAAGAATAAAATAAATTAGAAAATATTTAAATAAGACCAGAAAGGTATCAATTCTGCTGTTTAAAGTATCAGCTATGTAAAATATAAGTTATGTATATCTCACCTCTCTTTCTCGCGTTCTTTTTCACGCTGTGCGGCCAATTCTTCGGCCATCTTGCGGTCTCGCTCCTCCCTCTCGCGTCTCTCTTCCTCCTCTTTAATGCGACGCGCCTCTTCAGCGGCTCTCTCCTCTGCGCGACGTTTCTCAGCCAACCACTAAATACAAATACATAAGTGTTACTCATAAAGACAATTCATGATAAATTATATATAGATTATTAGCATGCGGAGGACAAGTAGCTTAATAATAATAAGCAAAAGGCCGATCTAAGAAGAATGACCAAAAATTTATTATCACGAGTTTAAACGAGATATTCCAAAAGGCACGGTCCAGACTACAACTGAAGTCGTTAACACACACCAATTCCCACTGGGTCCGTGGCCTTCAAATGGGGACATGATGACTATGAACGTATCGTTACTCACATCCTGTCGGCGTTGCTCGATGCGTTGCTTACGTCTTTCGGCGAGTCTCTTCTCTCGCTCGGCGGTTAACTTCTCGTGGAATGCGGCGAGACGTTGTTGATGCGCGGTGCCGCGTTCAGATTGCAGTTTAGTTACAAACTCGTCGCGATGCGCCAACATACGAACTAGACGTTCAGACGTAGCCACGTCGCGAGCGCGCGCCTCTATAATAACACACAGTAATAAGGTATTTGACTTATTTTGAAACATCGTTCTTAATTATTATTTAATAGCTAATAAGCACATTACATTGATATTTCGAAGACCTTTACTATATCTATACTAATAATATAAAGAGGAAGGATTTGATTGTTTGCTTACATTGAATATACTCTGAAACTAATGAACCGATTTTCAATATTCTTTCACCAACGGGAAGCTACACCATACGCGAACTTCTTTGATCAACGGGAAGTTACATAATAGACTATATTTTATCCCGAAAAACAGCGAATAAAGAGATGAAAATAGTAACCATTGTTTACTATTCAATTTGTCATTGTAACTATACCCATGTCATGATATGAATCGATATCCAAATAAACAGTTTTCCTTGAGACCACGCGGGCGAAGTCGCTAGCGGAAAGCTAGTTTATTAATAAAAATCAAAGTTAAAGTTTAAAATATTGATTTCTTATATTTTCACGCGCACTATCTATAACTGGAACAACTTTTAAAGGTAACAAGTTGTTCGAAAAACGCTATTTCTGTCATACGCCGCCAATACGTCACGTAAGACGTCACACGCAAATTAATAAACAATCATTATCACACTAAAACCATCAACAGGAAGCCATATCGACTAGCATGTGACGTCATTGGAGTTACAAACACAAGGCGTTTTCGTTTTAGATAAAATGTCTATCTCGCAGAGGATATGGCGAGAAGATTGGTAAGTGACGTTTACACGTAACCCTATATAATGATATTAGGGGCTGTGCAAAAATTAAGCTACGCGTATTCCACAACTTTTTTTACACCTCCGCCCTTGTCACATTTGTGACACTGTTAGCCAGTCATTAAGTCAGATTCGATTCAATGTAGAAAACCGACTTATCTATATTGTCTCGGGTCTGGGTGTTGTGGCACCTTCGTTGTGTCAGTCTACTCTCTCTACAATATAAGGGCTTCAGCCACTCATTTTGGAATTTGAGTAATATGTGATGTTGTCTAACATTAATTACTCCATTATTACACCGATAATACTCACCAATCAATTGTTGAATACGCTCCTTCTCTTGTTGTTCCCAGAAAGCCTTGTCTTGTACCTGTTTCTCTTCTAAGCTCTTTTGCAGCAAGGGAATCTCTTCCAGGCGTTTCGCGCGCTCAAAGTAATCAACCTAGGAACAATAAATTATAGCATCCAGCTTGAAAATAAACCCAAAATGCAGGGGGTAAGAGAAATGTAACCAATAGCAACGGGACTTAGGTCATATCAGATTGACAAACGCATTTCTTTTTAAGTTCGTTAAAAAAAAAGTGAAACTACTATATTGATTTTTGCCATTGTTAAATTTTGTGATTTGAGTGCTTTATATTAAGAACAAATGTTTTTGCGTACCGTAGAACACAAATCAGTGATTGTTGACTTATTTATATGACAGAACTGCATACAATGCTTTGTGATTAAATAAAAACAAAATGACAAAAAATGTTACCTTCTTTTCCTGTGATTTGAGCCTGGCTTGAAGCTCGCGACGTTCCTTCATCAGTTCTTCGGCCTCGCGCTGTGCGATTGCTTCGGCGTCCATTTTTTTTATTTCCTGTTACGTTAAACCGTAATCATATAGTTTGTACTTCAATTTAATATGAACACGCAAGTAGCTAATTAATTTCTGTGACCCATAACACATACCTCTTCGTCGAGTTTTTGCAGCATCTTCTTGCCATGCGCAGTCTGAGATATGTGCGCCATACGTTCTCTCCTATGCCTCTCCTTCATGGCAGCCAGTTCGGATGCATGCTTTCTCTTCTCTCTCTCCTCCCTCTCTTGTTCCAGACGGCGGGCTTCTGCGGCTGCGGCCGCGCGCAATTGTTCCTCTTGACGTCTGTTTACATTTTTAAATATTTTTCTTTAAAAACTAGACAACATAAGCAAAGTATGTCACTTTGCTCAGATACCAGTAGCTAACAAGATGCCTAAATAAGTCCTTTACCAATAAGGTTTTCTGAAACTAACACATGTTAAAAGTAAAATGTTTCAGAAACCAGAAGTAACTAAGGTACCACAACACCCATACTAGAAACAATATAGAAAAGTTCATTTTCTACATTGACACGACCGGGAATCGAATCCGATACTTTAGAGATTGCGACACCGTAAAAACGGCGCCGAGCTACTTGGCCACAAAAGTAATTGAAGATCATACACATTACTACATTTACTGAAGATTTTTTTTTCTTTAAATTGATTTAGTAAATAACTGAGTTACGGAATGAGGATAAAATCTTTGTTTTCAACTTTATATCAATTAACTGGGGTAATCAGACGATTTTCAACTCAACAGTTTATGGAATAAGGAGAAAATTTTCGTTTTCTCCTTTATAGCAATTGGAGTGATGAAATTTTATACTTATTCCTTAGTTACGTTTCAGAATTAATTACGAACATTTCAAACTCCATATCGTCGGGAATAGTACAACAACGCGTAAGTAAAACTTGCATTTAATAGCTAATTTTAAGTGTCCTTCATTGCAAGTGTCAGTTATGCGATATTGCAATATCAATAAAAAAAAAGATCTCTATAATCATTAATTCCACAGAATTACTGTCCGAACCAAGTTTCAAATGTTTTTTCTAGCAAATAAAAATAAAACTTTTCACCGGTGGCAATCAAGTTTAGTGTTATACCTGAGTTCCTCCTCTTCCCTGACAGTGTTCAACCGCTCTATATACTCCTTCCTCTCTTCGATGATCTTGTGCCGTTGTAGCACGCGCGCGTGCTCCGCGTGCTTGTTCTCGTGGTAGTGCTGGACCATATGCACGCGGGCACGTTCCCTGTCGGCGCGACGACGACCCGGGAACAGGGTCTGAGCGGCGACCGATAATACCTCCGCGGCGCGTACTAGTTGCTCGCGTACCTAACAATGATATTTATATATACAGTTATATATTAAACCTCGTCATAAATTTAATATTCTAGTAATTTATTATTCACTAGCTTTCGCCAGCAGCGCCGCCTTACTAATGTTACCCTAGGGAAATGTTAAGTGGGATAAAAAGTATCCTATTATCTAAGTCAGCTTATACCCTATCTGTATACCAAATCTCATCAAAATCCGTTCAGTAGTTTGTCCGACTGACCGACTAACATCCAAACATCTAAACATCCAAACAAAGAAACTTTCACATTTATAATATTAATAGGATATTTAATATTCTCTCGAAAGGAGCTCGATGGCGCAGTAGTTATCGCGCTTCGTCTACTACACGAATGTTAAGGATCTTTCGCAAAGGCCGGTGATAAAATGGGTGACCAAAACTATTCATGTCGAATTTTGACCTAAAAATTAACTAACGCGTCTAGTGATGTGATATATCTCAAAATGTAGTTTTTTTTTAACATATTACATACAAGGAAATTAAATATTAAAATAAAGTCGGGATAAAAATTGCGAGGCTGTTAAAATTTTTGACGATGTGTCGGTTACGTGTTTGCTTTCGAACGTCGATATGTACAATTAGTTTTGTGTTAACTATTATTTACAATTCAATTGATGGTCTATCTAGCATACCGTTAAAGCGCAGTTAATTTCGACCATTCAGAATGATTAAAGTATCGCACCATTGAGCAATCCATCAACATCACGCGCTTGACCGTTATTGATACAAGACTCACTATACATTTTAATCATACGTTTGGTCACCGTAGGAATTCGTAAGTCTACTCTGTGAAGATTTACAACAACCATATTAGTTGAAAGCGTGGTTGCCGAATAGAAAGAATTCCGTACAATGACCCGACACTACAAACCTCTTTTACTCGTGCGCATACATATTGTTACTGCGCTCGCACAGATGTCTCTAGCCAACTTTATGTGAACTACGTAAGCACAAATGTCAACATATGAAATTCTCTATATTCGGCAATCGTGCTATACGAACAAATGTAATCTATGTATGTATATTAACCTGTTCAGCAGGTGTCGCTTGCAGTATAGCTCCACCGCAAGCTTCGTCTGCTGCGGAACACCACTCACCGCCGCCTGCTTCAACGCCGAAATGTACGGATCTAACCAAATTAACATTACATTAATTATAGAACAACAATTATCAATAAACAAATTACCGGTCAACATACATCAAAGTACGTAATTCAAACGATTAATGCTAATGCGTGTAAGAATTAGAGCATTTTTTTACTATCATTAATCTTTCCCTTCAAGTCTCATTTTCATACTAAATCATCCAAAGGAGTACTCTCTAGAGGATTTTCTTTCATCCTGTTTCTAATAATATTAGTTTCAAATATTACAACATATTTATAATTAAATTAAATAATGCTTAAGAAATTTAGGCTATTTGAAATCAATGACATACAAGTTGTAGTTTGTCCAGGTTAGACCACCTGACTCTGCTGTTGATCAGTACTATGTAGATGATAGTACAGTAAATAAACTAAAGAATTGCAAGGAAAAATAATCAATTAATTATTATATGCTCAGTGGCTCAGTTAGGGTAGTCGCCCGGATTGCGAAAAATCGTGAGTTCGAATACTATCTTAGGAGTACCAGGTACAATGATTTTTTATGAACTATATTTTATTTTAATGATTATATTAATAGGGATCAATAAATTACATCGGTACATTGGGTTAAAATGTCACATGACGTCACGCGTTTGTACATTTTCTACAAAGCTGTGACGTAGCGAGTCCCCACTCCTCAACTTTAATGCCCGTTATATATTTTTTGTTAATTTGAAGTCAAAAAAGTGTCATATATTTTTCTATCATCTGACTGACGGACTAAATAGAATTTCTTTTTCTTTACCCAGTCGTCATCAATATTATTATGTTCTGTTACAAATATTTACTGACTTGTTGGCATGATCGACTCGTATCTGCATATCGTTGTGTCGCACGCAGTCGACGAGCAGACGTTCCATATGGAACAGATCTTCAGTACCGGCCAACTCGAGAAGTCTCTCGAACTTGATACACGCGTAACACTGGGCCACTTGACGTATCAACCTAACCAAGGCGACGTCGTTCAACGCATGTGTGTATTGGGCGAGAGGGGAATCTGTAGTAAAAAAAAATTCGATGTATCAGGTACAAGCTGACCCAACAGATATTCAGCCAGTTGGACAAACATCAACTAAAATTTTCATTAGTTTAAAGTGACATTACCGATACAATTTTGACTTCCATTAGAGATTACAGCCGTCATTAAATTTTAATGGACGTTTGTGCAACTGAACGATTGTCCTATATTGTGTTGTAAATGCAAAATTGATCAAATATAATAATTGAAATAATTATGTTTAAAATAATCATTTATTAATGAAATATTAGTTTTAAATTACTTGGCTCCTCCTGTAAAGACTTGATGACACCCTTCACGTTATGACATATACTGTGCGGGTCGAATTCGACCTCCAACCACGCGTACAACTGCTGCAGCTGAGGCGACGCCAGACCTACCACGTTCAGTCTAACCACATCTGAGAACCGAAACAACATAAAATAAAATAAATATTAGTCAACGTCACATAAGCACATTTCACAGATTTCAAAATGAGTAGCTACATTACGGAATATATGCAACAACTAAGCTATCACAACACCCAGGCCAGGCACAATATAGAAAAATTCATTTCTGCATTGACTCGTCTAGAATCGACCATGAAACCTAAGAGATGGCGAAATCTTAAAAAATTATTGAAACTTGAGAAAAAATCTTAATAGGGGAAGGGTTGTCCTGGTAAGGTAGAAATTGTCCCTAATGACTACAAGATTAAGAACCTCTGACCTAAATAATATTTGAAAACAAATTCTTACCTTTGAGCAGACTAGTTCTAGTCGGTGGTTGAGCTAATCCGAGTAGGACGGCGAGCCGTTGAGCCTTCTCCACCGGACTCTTGTCAGTGTCCACGAACCGGTCAAATTCAGGATGTAGCGACGGGAGAGGAACTGACAAAACGGCCACCAGAACACGACATGCCATCCTAATAGAAATAACATCATAATTAACACAAAACTATACTAATATTATAAAGAGTTATAGTTTCTAACATTGTAGGGCGTAACCTTCGGATTACTAATTCGATCATGAAAATTCTTTCACCTACAGGAAGCTACATCATACGCGGATGCTAGGCGAATACAAATATTTCTATTAGTATTCGTTGCATCATTAATTTAGTCTTTTATTTGACTTAATACTTGTTTTTAAGATTCCGTAATAAACAAGTAAGCCTTGTAGTTTCACCATGTCCGCCTGTCCGCCCGTCCGCGATTTAGCTCAATAACTACTGGTGATAAAAAGCCGACAGAGTAAAAAAAATAGGGTACCTCCCCTACAAGTAAAACTTTCTTTTTCTTTATCCCATAATGTCGCGTTGGTAGGTCTTTTAAAAATATTGGTCATGTGGGTAGGCTGTTTCATGTTTTAGTAAACTGTTTGTGACTTATTAAGCTTTAAAGAGACAATTTTCATTAGTCAATCTCCCTGTCTACCGACTAAATAGTCGTTGCAAAAATTCAATATGTTACGGCAGTAGTACCTAATACAACGAAGTTAAAAGGAAAACTATCACACTTAAGTTGACTTTGAAGAAGTTAATAATTTATTTTCTATTTAAAATGAAAGAATAAACACATTAAAAAGATATTGTGAAAAAATCTTGAATATTTTCATAAATAAAAAAGTTATAAGACTTTGAAGTTGTGGTCGCTAGAAAAATATCGCTTTACGCGGTACTTTAGCGTGTGACGTCACAGTACCGAATATAACCGCGAGAACGCGGCTTAGTACTTTTTTGAGCATCGCCTGCATCTTATAGTCGCGTTTTATTTATAATGTTTATAAATAAGGAAACGAAAAAATCTTAAAGCGTTTTTTAAAGTTAAGAACAGCTCAAACTGTACTTGAACGTTACTTAAACAGATTTTCTTTTCTGTTATTAATTTTTTAATGATCTGATCTATCAACTGATTTGTTCAGTTCAGTTTGATAAAACTAAGACTTTTAACTTATGAAAAGTAAAAAACATAAGTTATTGAGAATTTTATCTGTTAATTTTTTTTACTTTTCCGAATTCAAAAGCCGGGGCCGTGAGTCTTAGTACCCAGAATTTACTTTGATTTCATTATTTATTACATTATTGACATCACGCCCGTGTGGATCCAGCTTTAGAAAATAAAAAGTAGATCTAAAGTTTTGGTTATTGGCTCTTCTATGATTTAGCCAGCATCAGGTATCCATTAGCAATGGTGTTTTTATTTGTTCGGTTTGACTCTGCTTGTTATCCACTACTCTGCTGGTAATGTAACCGGGTGTTATGCAAGTACAAGGGCGGGAGGTGGAAGCAAACAAACAGTAAACATAAAAGGAGAAAAATATGTTTTTTAAAATCTTAAGTTGAGGTACCTGAAACAATGGCAAAGCATTCTTGTTAGGGCCTTAGTAAAGAAGCATTATTTATCTAGCTGTTACAGTTTAATATTATTACTATCTATGTACGAACACAGGACGTTTACAAAATCAGTGTACACCAATGGCAATAGGGACTTAAAATTTGTTGGACGAGGGACGAATAATGGAAGGGAGTTGTATAAGGATGAACTATTTTTAGAGCATTTGAAAAATATATGATCTGTGGTACCCTCGTCGAGACCACATTCGCATAGGGAACTGTCCTTCACCCTGATCTTGGCTAGAAATACCGGAGTGCATACATGACCCAATCTAAGTCTGGCTATGGTAGAAATTACTTGTTTTTTGACATTACGAATTTTGCTGAACCATGGGGTACACGGAATATCCGATTGGATGCTGGCGTAATGAAGTCCTTTTGATGAGGAGGTCTTTTTCCAATCTTTGGTCCATACAGACAGTAGATCCTTCCTTGCCATAGCGACTAAATCGTTAGGATATATGCCACTGTGAGAAAGACAACCATTAACTGTAGCTTGCTTGGCGCATGCGTCTGCTGTCTCATTACCGCTAATACCTGTGTGCCCTGGAACCCACACCAGGACAATTTGTAGATCTTGTCGATGACATTCATACAAAATAGTTTTAATTCTTAAAATATATTGAAATTTAAATCTGCAACGAAACTGATTAGATTCGATGGCCTGCAAACAACTTTTTGAGTCCGAAAATATAACTACTCTATTGAGCTTATGGGATTGTATAAATTTCAAAGCTTCTAATATGGCAATAGCTTCACCTGAAAAAACTGAAGAGGACGAGGGACATTTAAAGTTTAGTATAATTTTATATTTTGGGATCCAGACCGCTGAACCAACATGTTCATCATCTGATAATTTTGATGCGTCAGTATATATTGAAAGCCAATCAGCCCATTTCTCCGACATTAATTGGTTGAATTTTGCTTGAGCATCCACAGCATTTTTATCTATATTTAGATCTAATATTATTTTCGGTTGGTAAATTAAAGCCTGATATGGAGTTTCAAATAGGGGATTTAGTCTACATTGGTAAACAGGAGAGGGGAGGTGGATTAGTTTTCTATAACTAAACAATAAACAGGGAAGATTTTTGTGGGACCAGTATTCATTCGAAGGGACCAACTGGTGTAATAGATGAAGCTTGTCGATCAAAGGGTGTGATGAGCATTGGTAGGCCTTAAAAATAAATTTGTCCGACAAATACTGGCGACGGAGTTCTAGGGGGGGTTCTACACATTCCACCTGCATAGCATTTATGGGGGATGACTTCATGGCACCAAGAATGATTCGGAGGCATTTTGCTTGAATTTTATCTAAAGATTTTAAAGAAACTTTGCTGCATGGTTCTAAGAGAAGGGTTCCATAATCTAATAGGCTTCTAATGAGAGAGTTATAAAGCATTCTTTGCGTGATTGGGTGGGCTCCCCACCAGACGCCTGACAGAGCTCTGAGGATATTCAGATTTTTCTCACATTTCCTTGTGATGTAATTTATATGTTGAACACCCGACATTTTTGTATCCAAAAACATACCCAAGAATTTTACTTTGTTTTCTATGGGGAAGGATTGACCATCACAGGAGATATCTAACTGTGGAATGCTCCTAGATCTAGTAAAACATACCACACTGCTTTTGGGGATAGATAGGGATAAACCGTGATCTGAGAGCCAGTTGTTTAGGTAGAAGATTGCAGAGTTGAGTCTGCCACTTGCATCCTGAATATTATCAACCTCTAAATACAAAGCAAGATCATCTGCATATTGGAGAATATTACAAAATGAGTTAACTGAGAGGTCTAAATCATGGGTGTAAATACTATATAATAAGGGACTGAGGACCGATCCCTGAGGGAGGCCTTTCCACACCCTTCTAGAGGAAGAATTAGAATTTTGGTAATTAATAAGAATTGATCTTTCTGAAAGGCTATTAAAAATGAAGTTATGTATCTTCTCAGGGATGTTCAGCTGTTGCATCTTCTGCCTGAGCACCGGGAGAAGAACATTATCGTAGGCGGATGCAACGTCGAGAAATACGCCTACTACTGATTTTCGTTTGGAGAAAGCAATACGGATGTCGGTGACAAGGGTACTGAGACTGTCCATAGTACTTAATCCTTTCCGAAAACCAAACTGTGTTTTTGCAAGGCTGTTATTGTTCTCCAAATACCACTCCAATCTATTTTTGATGAGGTGTTCTAATATTTTACACATTGTGTTAGATAGAGCGATAGGACGATAACTAGATGGGTCGTTACTCGGTTTGCCTGTCTTTAAGATTGGGATAATAATCTGTGTCTTCCATTCATCAGGTGGGGTACCTCTATTGAAGATTGTATTGATTGTCTTTAGAAAGAAAAGCTTGGTATCCTTTCCGCTTTTGGCGACAAAGGAGTAAGGGATTCCATCTACTCCTGGAGAGGAGTCCTCTAAACCAGATAACACTAAGGACAGCTCTTCTAAAGAAAAAGATGCCTCTAAATTTGACGAGGATGTTTTAGTTGAAGGGAGGTTGACAATCTCTTCCAATAACGGGGCAGATGGAGGGGCAATTTTGTGGATAAAGGGTATTAACCAAGGAGATGGGTCTGTAGAAGTGTTGTGATGGTACATATTAGATATCGACCCGCGAAACCTTTTAATATTTTTCCATACAAGTGTGGAGGGAGTCTTTGGTGAAAGAGTTGAGCAAAATTTGGACCAGCCTTCCTTTTTTTTTAACCTTAACAGTTTAACCGTTTCTGCTGCAACTCTTTTATAATTAAGAAAGTTCTCCGGGCTCATTGAAGAGGCATAAATCGCTTCTGCGCTCTTGCGGTTTTTACAGGCTGTAGTACAATCTTTGTCCCACCATGGTGGGGAGGAAAGGTTTTTCGGTGGGGGTTTACGCATCGGTATACATTCTTCTGCAGCAGACACTATGGATTTCTTGAAAAGCTGATAATCTGCATCTACATCCTCTGAGTTTAGAGAGGATAGATTGTTGATTTTTTCATCTGATGTGACATAATATTTTTTCCAATCTGCTCGAGATAAAACAAATTTTTGTCTATTTATATATTTTGGGGGTTCCTTTCTGGGTGCAGGTAGAAATAAGAGGATGGGGAAATGATCGCTGCCATAAGTATTAGGCATTACTTGCCAATTAAGCCCAGAACACAGACTAGCTGAGCACAGGGTTAAGTCAACGGCACTCTTAGGGTTTTGAGATGGGGAAACCCTGCGGGTTGGAGAGCCATCATTTAAAATACAAAGGTTTAAGTCATCAATGAGATCTAATAGTGTAGATGAGAGAGGGTCAGAAGTATGGCAACCCCACACTTCATTATGGATATTAAAGTCACCTAGAACCACAATAGGCTTTTCAATGTTCTTGATTATAGAAAATATTTGAAGTAAAATAGGAAGACTTGGGTGAGGTATATAAAGGGAGATAAATGAAATATTCATGGCGCGGACAGCTACTATATTAAAATTATCAGGGTCATGAGGAGGAAGAACAATAGGATTAAAATTAATGTTTCTTAAAATAAATAGTGCGGAGCCACCTTTGCCGTCATTCCTGTCATCCCGGAGGCATGCATAGCCCTGGATCCAGAACATGGATCTCGGTCCAAGCCAAGTCTCCTGCATGGCAAGGATCACAGGCCTGTGGGAGTTTATAATGTAAATAATATCAGCTTTTTTATATTTAATACTCCTGCAGTTCCACTGAAGTATTGGAGTGAATGTTATTAAAGGAGGAAAGCTCAGTAAGTTTTTGTCGAATATTGTACGGTAGTTCGATATCATTAAAACGCTGTATAAAATTAATTAAAGTTGTTAGTTGTAAAAATAACATTTCTATTAGATTATCATTGGGCACAATATTTGGAGAGATGTTACTATTAATAGCACATCCATTTGGTTGAGAAAAGGAAGGGGAACGAATAATATTATTGTGTGTCAATCTGTCATAGCCAGGACTGGAAGCTGGGGAGGGGGGGTGGTGGGGAGTCAGAATAGTTTTTTTATATGAGGTGGTAGGTGGCCTAGGAGGGGAATTCATTTGAGAGGAGAGGGGATGAACCACTGGTGAATTAACGCGAGTGGTATCTGCGAATGTTTTGCGAACTGGTGCAAATCTAGCTGAAGCTTCCATATAGGATACATTTTCTTGCGACATCACAAGTTTTATAGATTTCTGTCTATCATGTTCTGGGCAAGAAAAATGTGTGGCTAGGTGGTTTCCAGAACACAGGATGCATTTAGGAGGAGCCTGGCTTAAACAGGTCTCTCCTTCATGCATGTCACCGCAATTAAAACATCGTGGTTTTGAGCGACATTGGGACTTTACATGGCCAAACCTACAGCAGTTATTGCATTGTATTACTGGGAGTCTGTACATTTCAACTGGTAAGGAAGTATAATAACAATAAATGTGTTCTGGCAGTTTTTTTCCTGTAAAAGTCACCACAACTGTTTGAGTGGGGATCCATGTTGGAGTAGAGCCTCCTATCACCGATTTCCTGTTTAAGCGTCTTGCTCGGAAAACCTTTCCGTACCCTAGTGGCACATTAACATTATTTACTAATTCCTCCATGGACCACTCAACTGGAACCTCTCTAATAATTCCCATACGAGAGATATTGAAAGAAGGAATTGAGACTAAGTAATCATTGTCATTAATGGCTGGATGGACCATGAAGGAGTTAGCATCTGCAGCTGATTTAAATTGGACAGATATGCGATTCCGCCCTACCCTCTTTACACCATCTAATATAATGTTTTTTATATTGTTGGTATGAAGAAATCTGCCAAAATTAATGGGTCGCAAAACCGTCCCCTGAGAAGCCTCTTCTCTTTTTGAGATGTGAACAATAAATGGACCAAGGTCATCATTTGCGTAGTTAGTTTTTTTATCTACAAATTCTGGTAGAATGTAGGTGGTTTGCGCTGACGCAGTAATTTGGGCAGATGAACTTTTCTTTGCCGGAATAGGGTTAGATGATGAAGCTTGAGTGCGTTTTCTATTTGATGATATTTGATTGTCCTCAAATTGAGAACTAAACAAATCTTGAGAATGAGCCGTACCGCCACCAGGGTCAGGTGGATCGGTATCCATAATTGCCTTTATGCTATTTTAAACAAGCTTTACAACACTTACCTAGTGATCCCCAATACGTTACAAATACAGATAAACAACACAAACACAGAAAGCGGACAAAAGTAACTCAATAAAGAGAAATTATTAAATTTCTTAGAGGCACTTGTATCAAGCACTCGACCATAAAGGAAAAGATGTGACTCTTTTGTTATATTTTAATCTTGTTGCATCAACGGTATTTAAGTAAAAATACCTTATATTTAATAATGGTGGAAACATAAACCTACTTAGGGGTCCACCTTGCCCCATGTTGCTTTAGTTTATTGTTTTAAAACGCCGTTGGCGTTTTATTTTTTTTTATATACAAGTTTTCTTGTACTTCAATTTTGATGTACTGATCATAACCTTTACCGCATGAGCCACGCCACACTCACTTGATACATCACAATCTTGGGCACGCCAGCTTAGCACTATATAATTAAGAAGCAGCTATGTAAGCACGATGCATTAAGGAGCAGCTCATTTGGTGATGTAAAACCTTTTTATTAATAGTTCGAAAATTCCAATCACCTCTAGACTTTAGAGATTATAAACCTAACTTTAATTTTAAAATATATAAAAGTTTCATTCAAATATATGGCAAACCAAAAGTAAAAGTTGTTTGTTATTTACAAGCCCCCCTTGCGATTAAAACTCCAAACTCTCCGGCTTTGTTTTCCAGGTAGGTCTGGCGCCTGAAAAATTTATACTAGTTTCTTATAATTATTTAATTTGTTAGTGACCTACCTTTTGGCAAATTTCTTTGCAAACTTACATTATTTTTTTAATATCACAACTTTCACAGTAATAATTTTCAAATAGTAACCATTCTTACACAGCAATAAATCCTTATTTTTTTTAAATATTAACATGTTTAGACACTAATTAACACAAATGACGCACGTAATACGTCACTTGTCGCGTCAGGTCGATTTTATATACCTCTGAGGCCTACCACTACGCAACAATTGAAATATTGCTAATGGGATTATTTCAGAGGCGATATACCTATTTATTTATAATTATGGTTATGTCATAGACAACAGATTTGAATTCCACTCAACTTTTGGTCATAATGATTTAACTTGCTGTTCAATTAGAACTAGCCGACCAATTGAACGGCTGTTTTACTGATATGTTGTATGAAGCCGTGCTGTTTAGGTGTACTATGATATTTCCTGTTGTTGTTGGCCTTCATAGGTGCCATATCCTTATGTTTCAGTGTTTGATATTTTTGATAATTATGACAGTTATAATTATATCTGAAAGAGTTACTTAAATATATAGGATTTGCAAAGCAACAGATGTACTCTTACTTTTGAAGTTCTTCCTGTGTGATATTCTTCTTCATTTCTCTGGACAACTGGAACAGCTTGAGTAGTGCAGCAGCGTGGAACAGGCAATGTCCAGCCTTCCAAAACACCAGTGCCAATTTACCATAGTAGTTGGCCATGGTTTTCGCCACAGGAGTCTTCTTTGACATGTTCATGAGATTGTGGATGTCTTCGATTGCTTTGTACGCTTCCTGATAATCAATGTCAGTTAAAAAAAGATAAAATTATAACATACTCAATACATTACGCATTAAAATAAAATATAAAAAACCTATTATGTAGATACACACAACACTCCTTCTCTAATTCTTAAACCATTTGAAATCTTAATCTATTGATAGCGAAGTTCAAAACAGACAATGTCATTTTCTGGTGAGTACATTATGTCAAATGTATAATATGAATACACCTGTATTTGTATTCGCAAGATCCTTACTGTGTATCCCAAAAATAATACAACCAAATTACACAAAAATACACAAGGATGACATATAATGAAATTGTGCGAATTTCGTAATTACAGTATTTATTGAGTAAGAGTCTACTCTTTGACATGAAAAATATACAATACTAGTGTATTGTATATTTTATACACTAAATAAGTGTTTGAATCATCAATTTGATTTGCATGAATTACACATTCAAGTAATTATTTACCTGCCATAACTCCATCTGAATAGCACTATCCAGCTGAAAGAGTCTGGTCTCAAGGTTCAGCTGCTGAGTCTCAGGTTTAGAAATGCTCACATTTCCTGTTTGTACCTTTATATAGAGAGAATAGTTTTATGAATCTCTAAATAAAATAAAATTTAAAATGGCAACCATCTAAAATTCTTACTAAAATTACTACTACTACCACACTCACATTAGGCTTACAGATGTCTTCAAGATGCTTCCGGAGCTTGTCACAGAGTTTCCTGAACTCAGTCTTGCGAGAGTACTTGAGGCAAAATTGAAATGCCATGCGTGCAATATCATGATACAGAGTCTCCACATGAGCATTGGTGCGGAGTAACTCCAAGCACTGGCAATAGGATTCCCAGAGAAATTTGACCTTAAAAAAAAAGATATTTAGAAATTAAGATTCAAATCCCACTGTGAATAAATTAAGTCTACTTAGAGTTAGAGTCTATTTTAGAGTTTATAACACATAGCCCTCTATAGAATTGCACACATTAAAATTAAACACCAACTGGAAACACAAGCAATTTATGTGTTGATGTGTGAAAACATAATTTAATACAGATGTCAAAAACATTGCCACTTGTCACATTAAGCTTTATTGATATAACTCCAATTTTATCATTTTGGATATTATATTTGTTAACAGGATTTACTTGGAATACATGAAAATATTACAGAGTCAATTTATATTATAAATCACTGGAGTTTTGAGTTGAGACAGAGTACCTGATTTGTGGGAAGGGTAACCCCTCTTCCCACAAATCAGTGAGTTACCTGTTGCCAAAAGTACTTTGCAATGAATTATAAGCATTAACTAGTTTTTATTTCGAAACTTAACACATTTTAGCAAACATAGTAAAACAATTACAATAGCCTTTTTATTAACCAGTCAAATAATAATTATTTAAACTTCATTTTATTTGCTTATCCAGGCTTATTTTGAAAACCCAGGTTGTTGCCCATCTCTGCTTACATGGTACTTTGGTTACCCTACAAAGTCGATTGGCCTGAGTATAATTGGGCAAATCACCAAACATTGCGCATTAAACTATATGGCGGATGATAAATGGCCAAATCAAGAAATGTTGGTATATTATGTTATGCCTGGACAGATCTTTATTAACGCAATCCAATGATTGACATACGACACATGCAATAATAACTTGAATGATAACACAATATTTACCCATGGTGTTAGAATAGTTCTATCAGAACGATCTTGAGCATCTTCACCAGAAACTGCACTCAAGAGGATGCTCTCAGGAGTGGCTAAGTTATCCAAGTCATCAGTTTCAATGACAGCTTGCGTTGACTGTGCTCTAGCAGCTTCTGTACGCTCTTCAGCCATTCGCAAATAGCCTCTGTAAATTTGATATGTTTGTATGTCACACATTTACCACCCACATAAGTGTTGGGAAAAGCTCTGCATGTTAAAAAACACACTTCTTTTTTGTGAATATTTGTTTTAAGAACTCATGATAATGAAATAGTGTGTTGAGTCCAATTATTTCTATTGATACTTTAATTCATATGCAAAATAATACCTTTAAAATATAGTCATTGAACTGAAAAAATTTAGTATGTGGACCTTTTTGTGACTACTTATATCTTAAAAATTAAGGTTCTCTTTACTATGACCAAATTGACTGTATGGCCACAATACCAATCATTGTATGAATTTCTCTTATTGTAAAATTACTGTTTGATGATTTTTCGACAAAAGCAACATATTCTCTCACATTAAGTCACTTTTGCGTATCATTTTCTCATAATGTTTTACCCTTGCTTTAGAAAGTAAGTTAAACAATTATATTAACTTATCATTGCTACACAAGGGGAAGCACACTATGACAATTAGTAACTTAATAATTATAATAAAGAATATACCTACAATATTGAATAATGTTTCTTTTTTTTTAAACTTGAAATTTTAAAAAAGAAATTAAATGCTATGGGTGACTATGACGGGTTTTGACAGATCATCTATTTACAATAACAATAAGTAACAAAAAAAAAGCATGATATAATGATGTTATGAAGAGATTTTTTTTGTTTTATCTAATTGACTGGTTTATATAATTATTATTTATTTAAATAATAATTTCAATTTAAATACTGTCTACTTATTTAAAATAAACATCATAGCCAGCCCAATCTTCCCTATAAATGGAATTAATTATTATTCTTAACACTATCAGAAAAACAACAGGTTCAATGAGAGAAGGAAGAGATTAAAACAGATTTTGTGGGTTAAGCCACTGATTAATATATAAATTTCTAAAAATCATATACAAATGGATTTCCAAATGAAAAGGCTATATGTTTAGGAAATTCTTTTCATTCTATCATTGAACATCCTGATAAATTATACAAGAATTAAATATAGTATAGTTTGATATAATTAAGTAGATTTATAGAGGTAAAGTTTCATACTTTGTTTGTTTTTATGGGGTATCTTTGGAAATACTGATCTGATTATGAAAATTCTTTTACATACAGAAAGATACACATAGGTGAAATAAACATGATTTGGCACATGTGACGTCACAGGAAAACAGCTGTAGCATAGTCACTGAACAGGGAGAATTTCATACAATGACCTGCACTACACATCTTTCACTCATGCACAAACATTTTGCTATTGTACTCACGCAGATGCATCTAGACAATGGAGTCAATAGGAAAAACAGTCAACATACAAAATACTTTCTTGCCATGCTATACTAAGTAATTTATTGAAATCTATAATAATCATGCATGTTTCTCTACCTTATTACTTGCTCCAATGATCCTACATTCACAGATTGAAACATGTTCCTGTACTGAAAAAGGCCTTCCTTCGCAATATGAGACTTCCGGAGGTCGACACAGAGCTCCAAATATTTGAACATGATCGGCTCTAATACAGATTCTGACCAGTTGTAAGCCCATTTCTTGTTACGGAACACCTCTTGCAGAGTGTCCAAAGCTCTGGCTGGCTTATCCAGGTCCATAAACTCTGTAGGATAAGATATGGCAAATGGCGATCATGTCTTTTTGGTTATACTTTTACGTAATTACAAAGATATTATTTGTGATGGAAATCGATATAACATACAAATTATGAAAAGAAAGCCTATAAAATCATATTTAATAATAAGTAAATCATAGGAGAAATTTAAGTAAATTATGAGTCGTAGTCATGTCACAGATGCAACGTGGTGAATTTTTTAATGTGCTTACCACTAGCTCGTTTAAGAGCATTTTCCGGTCTTTGCCCGTATCGCGCCATACTGTATGCTATTTTGTTCACTTCATCAACTCAAATTCAGCGTTACTATGTATTTATGAGAGAAAAAGTAAAAATTAATAACGCGACAGGCATGCAAGACCGCGATTACAGCCGGGTGACACTGTAGTATAAAATTAAAATTTTTATTTTTGTATGGAAAGTGGTGCCATCTCTTGGCCATGGCGTTGCAATTTTTACTGTATTTGCATCGGGCTAGCCTAGATGTCGCTATAAACGAAGTTTTAGAGTTGCCAAAATATATAATACAAATTAAAAATTACTAATCAAAATTGTATTGTGATTTCCTACAAGAATTAAATTTAGTGCTTTTTGTTGGAAAATAGAATATTAAAAAATGTTTGCATATTTTTCTGAAAATATTTTAACTATTGGCAACACTGTTAAGAAAACAAACTTCGGACATTTTCCGTTTCTTTAAAAGTGTTTTGTGAACTTTGTTGTCTTCTGCGCGTTTACAATATTTTTGGTTTGTTTGCTCCCTTATTGACTTGGCGTGTTTTACGGACTTCTGTTGCTTTTTCGAACTTAATTTTGGCCATTGAACAAGGACACCGACACGGATTCATTGCACGATTACCCCAGCTCTGCTTATTGGACCCGACCTCTGCCTATTTTGAAGACTTCGCTACACTCACTGGACTTTGCTTATTGAACTGAAACATGCTCAAGAATCCTCGGTCAAGTTGTTATTTAGGGTGTGGAGAAGCCGAACAAAGTAAGTATCTAAAAGTTATGATTTTTTTAAGTTTTAACTTCAATATAAATAGAATTCACTAAAAATAATATTGTCGATATACGAAAGAAATTTTAATGTTCCTAGAAATATATAATTTTTGTCATAATATTCATTGAATATATTTATTTCAGAACCACTTCATTGTTTCCCCAAACCATTGGAGAAAAACAATGAAAGATTTAATATCTGGAAGTCAGTACTTGACGAAAGGACTCGAGAAAAAGGAGATATTTATATATTTAACCAAATACGACTGTGTCACAGACATTTCGAGAATTATTATAAAACACAATATGGTCGACTAACAAGAAATGCAATACCAACACTTCATCTTAGAAAAGGTAAACATTTATTCAAGTACTTTTTTGATGTCTTAAAGATAAAGACTTACCACTACCACTACCATATATACCACTAGACAAGCTGTGAGGTACTAAACCATGATGTTTTTCTATAAAGTTAATAATAATCACATAATAGTGAAAATGTACAATATAAACACTGCATTTTGCATTAAAACACTATACTTATTATTATATTAATAAATACATATATTCAACTCACATATATGTAAGCCTGATGTAAAAATAAACCATACTTTATAATAATACAAATAGGTTTTGATTAAATAGATATAAGTTCAGTGTAGTTGTTACATTTGAATTTAAAAATATAAGAATAATATATGTATTATTTTTATGTGTATGATTTTATTAAATGCTTCCGCTTGAAAACATGTTTATTTGGCTATTTCAGATACTACCACTCCTACAGAATTTAAATTGACAGTGGAATCATCAATGGAAACATTGAAAAGTTTGGGTAAGTACCTTAATTAATGTTGGAATTCTCACACACCCTTGACCACTTTAATTGAAAATATAGCTAATTATCAAATGAAACATGTAAAGAATGAGGAGTTTTTACAGTCTAGAAAATTACTAAGTTTTTAGCTTGATCACATTTATCTAATTTTTGTATTTAAATATTTGAGAATATTTTATTTTAAGTTGTTATTAATATGAATTAATATTTATTTGTCATGTACAAAGGACCAATAAAAGCATCTAAGTGTTGAAAATTGCAGCCCCCATTTCTAATCTACTCATGTTTGTCTATTTTTGAAGAATTAACAAAATTTTTGAAATAATTGCAAGGCCAACTCTTTCTAATCCAATTTGATGATAAAATACACCGAGACACAAAACATACATAAAAATGAAAAAACACATTTCTAATATTTTTGTTCATTCATATATTTACTATTTGTGTATACAAATAAAGACTATTCCTTTAGTTTTTACCTTTTTTACCTGTGGCAGTATGTATTACTTTGGCTCTTTATCATGAGTGTGTCTTCCATTAAAGAATACTGTGTATTTTCTGTGAAATGTGCAGACCATATATCAGGTAGTTTATGCCTATGAATTTTTACAATATGATTATTTTACTATTTCAGAAGATACTACTAATCCTAGAGTTGAAGAAGGGCCGTCAACCTCATCTGCAACAAGCAGTCATAATATAACAGAATCGCCAACAGAACCATTGACTTTTTCATCCAAAACTGAATTGAAAAGCTTAGGTGAGCATCTATTTATTAATAATTGTTGGAAATGTACATAAAACCTTTGTAAATCATCTCTAATTCCCTAAATATTATATTTGATCAATTTTGCATTTGCAATGCTATACATTTTTCATTAAGAATATTTTCATCCCTAAAGTTATATTAATAACACTTAGTAAGAAGCTAGTCTTTTTGACAATCCAGTGAATGTGTTATGGATGAATTCGAGAAGGTAGTAAAAAATGTTTAAGCTATAATTTTGTTTTGTCATAGCTCTAATAAGTGTAATAATTATTTGTTTACAGAACAAACAAGAAAAAAACAAAAAAATATAATCCATAGGTTATCTCAGAAAATTTTAAAATTAACAAAGAAATGTAAAAGTCAGCAGACTAAAATGAAAATGATAAAAAAATTATCAGAAAAAAAATCATTTTTAAAAATTGTTGAAGCAATGCCTGAAACTGTTAAGGTTTTCATGAATATGCAACTAAAAGGCAACAAAAAATCTAGAGGTATGAAATTTTCGATAGAAGAAAAAGTAATGGCTGCCTCCATTTTAAAACAAAGCAATAAGGCATACAATTTCTTACGCAAAATAATAGTACTGCCATCTAAAAGAACATTGCAAAGACTTTTAAAGGTAATAAAAATAAAGCCAGGGCTGAACACAAAAATTATGAGTCATTTAAAAAAAATAGTAAGCAACCTACCTATTGAAAAAAGACTTTACATACTTTTGTTTGATGAGGTAGCATTATCGCCTGGATTATATTTTAATAAACATGAAATCATCGGTTTTGAAGATTTTGGACAAAAAAAAACGAAAAATATTGCAGATCATGCTTTGGTGTTGATGATTAAAGGTGTGAAATCTAAAACGAAACAACCAATTTTATTTACGTTCTGTAAAAGCGCAACAAAGAATATCGAATTAAAAACAATTATAACTAATACCATAAAACAGCTAAAAGAAGCTGGTATTATCATTGTAGCCACGATTTGCGATCAAGGAACATCAAATGTTAGCACAATTAAAATGTTCCAAAAAGAGACAAGGGAGAAATATTTACGAGAAAATATAGAGTACCAATCTAATTCTTTCGAAATAGACAATTTGAAAGTTTTTCCTTTATTTGACACGCCCCATCTATTGAAAGGAATTCGAAATAATTTTCTGTCTAAAAATATAAAATTCCAACAAAATGGGAAACAAAAAATTGCCAAATGGGAACATTTAAAAATGCTTTTGAATGAAGACACAGGTGAAGACGAAATAAGAATTTTGAATAAATTAACCGAATACCATGTGTATGAGGAAAAAATTCCAAAAATGAAGGTTAAATATGCAGCCCAAATATTTAGCCAAAGAGTGTCAGCAGTAATGGGATTTTTAGCACGTAAGTTTAATTGTATTTATTTATAATTTGATAACCTCCATCATTCATACAAATACCGGGAAAGAACTTGGACATAATTTACTTGTTTTTCTATTTTAGCAATGTACAGTGCTTATGCTTTATCATCATCATCATCACCAGCCCTTTCACGTCCCCACTGCAGGGGCCTTCCTTATGGTGAAGGAGCATGGGCCATGACCCTCCACGCTGGGCCAATGCGGATTGGAGGGTATTAAAGACTGCAAATGCAGCCGGAACCAACGGCTTAACGTGCCTTCCGAAGCACGGAGTAGCTCGAGATAATAATTTTTTGGTCTTCCATCCCGTGACTGACCGGGCCGCGGCGCTTATCCACTACGCCACCAAGCTACTCAAAGTGCTTTTATAAAGTTTTAAAATTGTTGTACAGAACTATTGGTACTCTAGCCACACTTACATTTTCGTGATATTATTACAGCAATTACTACATAAATTATTTTATTATTTTTTTCAGGACGCAATGTGCTACCTGCTGAATGTGAAGATACGGCAGACCTTTTATTGATATTTGACAAATTGTTCGATTCTTTTAATGGTCACTCTTACTGTGATACAGCAAAAGTTCTTAAAGGGTGTCTTAAGAATAATTCCCCACATATTCAGTTCTGGACCCAGGAAATAATCCCGATTTTAAAATCAATACAATTTGAAAAACATATTATACAAAAAGATGGTTCAAAAATTGTCAAATATGAAAAAATCCCATCTGTTCAGAACTGGATACATAATGTAAATACTATCATAGAACTGTGGAATTATTTACGAAAAAATTTTAAAATAAAAAATATTATAATGAGAAATTTTAACCAGGATCCCCTAGAAAATTTCTTTTGCTGTATAAGAAGTAATGGAATCAGAAATATCAATCCAACGTGCATGCAGTTTATGAATGCATTTAAAACAGTTTTGATTAATAACATAAATTCAAGCCATTCTATTAATGCTAATTGTGAAAAAGATGATTATGAGCAATTGCAATCGTTGAAATTTTTATTGTTAGAAAAATGTGACTCTCCCTGCTACACTGATCTTGCATGCGAAATTGATTCTTTAATTACTGCTTTTAATGAAATAACATCAAGTGAATCGATTATACATGTTGAGGCGAAAAGATATGTTGCTGGTTATATAATAAAAAAATGTAAAACAAATATTTATAAAAAATGTGAAGTATGTAATGTCGATTTACTGGAATCTGAGAGGAATGTTGATTCATTTAATTATGCAATTGATTATACAAAGAAATCTTTATTTTATGCACGCGATGATTTTGTTAAACTTCTCAATGAAATTTATTTTATGATTATTGCATGTTTAAGGGATACACCTCAAATGACCGATATTGATAAAAAAATTAT